TCAATCTTTCTCCTCCAAGGTGAAAGGGAATTATAAACTTCTTTATGAAAACAGACAAATCAAACAACTACACTGACCAGCAGCCAGCTATAACAGTTGCACAAACTAAAGCGACATTCCTAGCTCATATCCTGGACCACCTTAGAAAGGACATGACACATATTTAAAACCCACAGGGGTTTTAACATTTTTTACTTTTTAAACATGGGGTTTTTTATTTTTTTAATTGCATGTTATGTTTAGCCTCATTATTTATAAGCTTTTTAAAATTTCTGCATCTGACACAGGAAGTCATTTTTAAGGAAGCCTGACTTCAAGGGTAAGCCACATTTCAGGAGGAACATCTGTGGGCACACTCCTTACATGTGCAGAAAACCATGAGATGAAACCAGCAACCTGCTGTCCACATCAGGCAGGTGACTCCATTTCACATAGCTCATTACCATGTTATTTATGTTCAGTTTATTATTGATTAAAAACAAGAAATGGTGTTTGAGAGATGCGAACAGGAGCGTCATACACACCTTTCAAACAACACTTTCATATTTTATGTTGAAAGCAACAGAATTTCTCACTGACCAACTGGGAATTTCACTCCTTATCTATCCTGCTATCTTCTTCTGTCTGATAAAAATATGATGAAATCTAACCCCTCATTAATGCATTTCATGCAGCTGAATGCATTTGAACATAGACAGCTGACAAATAAAAGCACTGTTTTCCATGAGAACAGTTTAACAGTAGCCAACAATAAATACTTCTTTCCTACACAGCAATGCCAACACAACTTCATTATAGAGCAGAATGACCACCTCTAGGGATGAAAGCATAATGCTGGCTTAGTACCCATGCAATTCTTGCTTTCTCTGCTAAGATTCCCATACAACTAGCAACAACCAGGATGATGAGGTTTACATGGACATCAATCTATTGGGAGCTGGACCAAGACCAAAATCACACCAGTGTGGTCAGGAAAACATAACTACTGCTGAGTAGGTGTGTCTTGGAAAGGGTGACTCTATGGACAAAGAAAGTGATATACTTATAACATGCTTTCAGACCCTCAAAAAGAACTTTCCTGAATTTCATCATGACCTTAAGAGCATTCCCTCAGTGCACTGAATACAAAGAGTCATCTCATGGCTGAAGCATCCTCAGTAGCAGTGGTACCACCCTACATATTAGGTCTGATTAACCATATTGTCACTGTCCAGAGAAGTATATTGTAGCAGCACTCATTTTTTTAACCTTACAAGTAAAAGAAATTTTGCCTTAGAAGTGCTGACAGCAGAAGGAATGCCTTTTTCATAAGGTAAAACCCAGTGATAATGCTAATTTTTTCAGATGGAGAGTGAGAGTTAATTTCTCCTCATATATCGTATTATTTTAATGGAGATGTGGGGCTCAGTATTAAAGAAGGGAACAGATCTTTACATAACAGACACCTGGCAAAGGACATATCCATTATCGTTTACAGGCACTATCCTAACGGAAAAGAACTACTCCAAATGGCATGTAATTAGAGAAGAAGGATGCAGTGTCTAACCAGTCATTACTGTAACAGAAATTTGCCATACCATGTGATTAACCTAAGAAAGACATGATGATGATCTCACCATGTCTGCTTTTGCCTTCTGGCTATCAGAAAACACAACAAATGTGAATAGAGAGGCTGGCAGCTGAAATAGCTATCACCATGGCTTTTATAATTTTTTTAAAAAAACCCAACAGTTAAAAATATCTTGCCTTTTCCTGATGCCACCTCAGCAGTTGCTTCCTGTGTTTTCAAGCTGTCATTTTGCTCTGTCACTGACAGTAAGACCAGCAAAAATAACAAAATAATCTCCTTAGTAAACCGCCTCTTGCCAAACACCTTCTCAAAAAAAACCATGAGGAAGCACCATATGCTGGGCGACTTTGTCTGATGTATTGAGG